AACTGAAATGTCCCAGGTTCGATTCCGGTCAAGGGCACATGCCTGGGTTGTGAGCTCGATCCCCAGTGGGGGGCTTGCAGGAGTTAGCCGATCAATGATTCTCTCTCATCATTGATGTTTCTATCTCTCTCTCCCTCTTCCTTCTTCTCTGAAATCAATAAAAATATATTTTAAAATAAAGAAATACATTAATAAAAGCCCTCAAAATAAATATCAAATATGTATAAATGAGAAAGGGAAGATATGAAGTGAGGAGAGGTTTTTTGATAAAATCAGAAGGGTTTGTAGCAAATTTTCCTCTCTTTTCAATATTAAAAAAGTATAAGTAGTATTAACAGCTTTAAACATTAGATAATATAACAAAATATGATCATTTTCACTGCCAAAGAAATGCCGTATACTTCACAAAATTCTTACTTTATTCCTGCCCAAGTCTAATCTCGCTTGAAAAAAGTCATTAACAGCAATTTTTCCCTCCAGACATTTCAAGGGTCTTTTTTGTTCCCTACGCTTTTCTTCAGTTTGGGATGATTCTTCGTGGTGATGATGCAGCTGCTCCAGTCGCTTGGTGAGCAACTGAATTTCCTGCTTACGGCCTTCAGCTCCCTGTAAAGAAAAAAAAAATAGATTAAACTTCCTGATGGTCCATGATTTCTATTTCATTTCAATACTGTGCAAGTTCTACTGTGCTGATATTGTAGAAAAATTTACTAAATAGATGCTGGTTTCAGAAATAGAAAGGTTTGACATTTTAGTTCAAGCATGTCAAACTCAAAGGCTAACACGGACCAAATAAACAAGGTTTATGTGGGCCACAAAAAACCAAAAGCTTCAATTTTCATAGAAACGTAGGCTTATTTCATAGAGACATGCTGAATACAAAGGGCTGAAATAAAAGAGTAATCGTTAACATAAAATAATAGAACATTTTAATAAAAATTAACATTTTTTTCTTGAACATTAACTTATCAGACACTGAATAACTGCACAAATTAATAAGCGTAACACAAATAAACCTATCTTTCTTATTCTCCAAAAGCGAAATATTTTCTGTTGCGCACACCAAATAAGTCAATACAAGACTAATGACGTAGCAATCAGCTGCTAAAATATTCGCAGCTAGTATTAGTGGAGAGAAATGGTGTGCCTGCGCATAATGCGCGTAAGGGAAATGAAAGCAACATGATTATAGTAATCAGTAATTAGCAAACATTGTAGTTTGTTAATAATAATTATGTGTAACAGGATATTGTTAAAATTAAGTTACAAAATTTTTATTAAAACATTTCTTACATACCGTTATATTGGCTGGGCTGCAAAAATATTCGTTATGGGCTGCATGCAGCCTGCAGGCCGAAAGTTTGACATGCTTGTTTTAGTTAATACTGAGTAATAAACTTGTATGATGAATTTAAGAGAACAGTGTAAAGACATTTGGAACTCTACAATAAACAGGCTACTGTGTAGCAGGTTTTACTAACACATTGAATTAAAGCAATACCCATCTTCCTTTGAATTGTAGGGTGAAGAGGCATGAAATTTTACAAAGTGATTTGAACACAACAGGGAAATCTCATTTAAACCTGAAGGTTCAATCTCTTAATAGACTTGACCAATAAATTTAAATAACTGATTTAACTATTTATTTTACTGCACTGACTGAACACTTTGCTCACAATGGAAACATTATCTGCATCATACCACTATTTTTAAGCTAGCATTTATTGAGCTTACACTTAGCTGTACTAAGCATTTATCATGTATTTACCCATTTAATTGCAACCACTCTGAGATTTGAACTATGCCCAATCCTTCCTCACCAGCCTCCACTCCCACCAAATTTTACAAATGAAACTAAGGCAAAGAGTGGATAAGTAACTTGCCTAATAGCAGAGTTGACAGTGGCAGAGCTGAGATTCATACAGGAGCTCTGTGCTCTTAACAAGCACACTATATACTACCTCTGCTGTAATAATGGACATCCTCTGCTCTTTTACTACTCTAACAATAAAATCAAAATTATCATTTAGAGCCACAGGGTTTACTGAATCAGCTAATATCAAAATCCACATCTTAAAAGAAACAAATCTGAAAGAATAACTTGTCTGCAATATACTTACAGACTTCAGAATTGCTCATTTGCACCAATTCCCTGAATTCTCTCTTTCACAGCTTCCTCTGTGCTGGGATGGGGACAACACTGCTGCTTAGAAAAGAAGCCAATTGACGAAGGAATTTCTGATAGTGGGATTGTGCAGTTTTAGTTCCCCAGCTGAATGAATATGGAGGTAATATTTTTGTTTTTCCTTATGGATCAAATCTTGTTGATATTTATCCCAAACTTTCTGTTCATCTTTTGAATCTTCAGAGTAAAAAATGTCTCTCTCAAAGTTCTTGGACGGGATAGCTTTATCTTTTTTCTAAATATGCCAACACACATGTTACACTTCTCATTCGATGATTCCGATGATTCTCTCTCATTATGATGTTTCTATCTCCCTCCCCCTTCCACTCTGAAATCAATAGAAAATACATATTTTTTAAAAAAAAACAAAAAAAAACAAAAAAAAACAAAAAATACTTTGAAAGCAGTTCTAATTTTTTAAAAATATAGTTTTATTGACTTCAGAGAGGAAAGGAGAGGGAGAGAGAGACAGAAACATCACTGATGAGAATCATCGATCGGCTGCCTCCAGCCTGCAACCTGGGCATATACCCTGACCGGAAGTTGAACCATGACCTCCTGGTTAATAGGTCAATGCTCAACCACCAAGCCATGCCAGCCGGGCATTTCTGAAATTTTTTTTTTAATATATTTTATTGATTTTTCACAGAGAGGAAGGGAGAGAGATAGAGAGTTAGAAACATCGATGAGAGAGAAACATCGACCAGCTGCCTCCTGCACATCTCCCACTGGGGATATGCCCGCAACCAAGGTACATGCCCTTGACCGGAATCGAACCTGGGACCTTTCAGTCCGCAGGCCGACGCTCTATCCACTGAGCCAAACCGGTTTTGGCATTTCTGAAAATTTTTAATGGAATACCTTACATTAATTGGATTATGGGCCTTGTTTTACATTCGGATTATATAATAAACTGTTATAGTCTAAGAATTTAAAAATAAACTTTTACCAGTTCTTTGACAAGTGTCTGTCTCCCATCATTCTCCAAAATTCTTCTATAAGATCTTCTACTAATCCTGTTAATTGCCATCTATGAGTGACCAGACTCATTTCTTCCTTCTAAAATGAATTCATGCCATAATTTCTGACTCCAATGTTCAATGTAGATAATCCAACCAATTTAGCTTTAAAGTTCATTGCTTCTGTTTCAATAACTTTCACCTACACCTTTCTTCAATCCTTAAACCCAGATCTAAACATATATATATATAAAAAAGATTTTCTGGGGCTTCTGGTCAAGATGGCAGTGTAGGTAAATGTGATACTCACTGCCTCCTGCAACCACATCAAAATTTACAACTAAAATACAGAACAATGATCATTCAGAACCACCAGTATTACATGAAATGTTAAAGGGTCTTCTTAAAGAAGAAGAAAAGAGATTAAAAATATGAACAATAAAATGGCAATAAATACATATCTATCAACAATTGAATCTAAAAACTCAAAATAAATGAACAAGCAGAACAGAAACAGATTCATAGATACAGAGAATATTTCAGTGGTTGCCAGATGGGAGAGGGTATGGAGGGATGGGTAAAAAAGGTGAAGGGATTTAGAAGTACAAATTAGTAGTTATAGTGTACTCATGGGGGTGTAAAGTAAGGCATAGGGAATATAGTCAATAATATTCTAATAACTATGTATGGTGTCAGATGGGTATGAGATTTTTCGGGATGATCACTTATTAAGTTTTATAATGTCTAATCCCTGAGGTGTACACCTGAAATTAATACAATATTATAGTCAAATGTAACTGAAAAAATAAAAAGATCAATCAAAATTTATTCTCACCTTTATCTTGAAACTACCCAAGGTGTCTTCTTGTCCTTTCACATTCATATAAGGAGTGAATCGATTAGCACCTGCTAACTTTTTCTCCAAAAGGTCTGCTTTTTGCTCTGCCCTTTCTCTTTCAACCAGATGTACTCTGTGTAAGAAAGCAGTAGGTAACAATGTCATGAAACCAACTCAGTATTCAAACTTCAATTAAAAATAATGAAATAAGCCCTGGCTGGTGTGGCTCAGTGCTTAGCATGTCAGCCTGGGCACCAGAGGATCATGAGTTTGATTCCCAGTCAAGGACATGTACCTGGGTTGCAGGTTTGATTTCCAGCCCCAGTTGGGGCATGTGCGGGAGACAACCAATCAATGTCTCTTTCTCACATCAATGTTTCTCTCTCTACCCCTCTCCCTTCCACTCTCTCTCCATGTGCCTTTGACTGGAATCAAACCAAGACCCTTCATTTCACAGGCCGACACTCTATCCACTGAGCCAAACCAGCTAGGGCTAAGCCTGTATGGAAAAAATATCCTCACTCCTTGGATAAGGGTTAAAATAATATTAATAATAATGAAAACAAATATTCCCCATTAAAAATATAGTAAATATTTGTATCAAGTAAAAATGTGACTATTTCTAAGGAGAGACTAGAAATGGTAGAGAAATGGAGAGAAATACAATCCAGTGTTAAGTCCTGTAGTAGTTACCCGGGGGAGGTCAATTTTGAAACCATCCTTTTCAAGGGGAAATTTGAGTATGAATATTTGCCTGCCACTACTGATAATAGTGTGATGATCAGGAGGTTCCACATGAATACAAGTACTCCTATTTTAATAACACCTGAATGGGCTCTTCTACTGAGATTTGATGAGGGAAAAGGAACTAGAAATAATGATACAGCAATAGAGAACAGCATATCTAAAAACGTTATTTATTATCAAATATTTAAACAGCTAATTATTTGGTTCTTATTTGATTACTAATTGCAAGGTATTGGTAATATTTTCTACCCTGTAGCTAGGTTAAAGTTTCAATTCATCTTCCATGATTTTTATGTCCTTTTCTAAGAATTGCATCCTACAGAATTAATGAATTTGAGTTAGGTCAACAGAAATTATCTAAATAATCTAAAGAAAAAATTTTAATTCAAAAATTATGTTAGAGACAGGTAGGACACACTCAATAGGTATAACATACCTGTAGGTCTAACATATTGTAGCCATAGAATGAGAATAGAGACAGAATGGGACAGAAACAATATTTGAAAAAATAATTTCCAAGAATTTTCCAAACCTGATGAAAGACATCAATTTATAGATTCAATAAATTCTGCAAATCCTAAGCCTTGCCAAGACATATAGTCAAATTGTTATCAATTAAAAGCAGTCAGAGAAAAAGCACACATTACCTCAAAAGTACAACAATAAGACTGATGACTGAGTTTTCAACAGAAGCTATAGACGCCAGAAGATAACTGAATGACATCTTAGAGGGCTGAAAGTAAAAATACTGAAATCCAAGAATTCTACTAGCATACACAATAAAAAAAATACCCTTCAAAAAAATGAAGATGAAATAAACATAGTTTCAGACGGGAAAAAAATGGAAAAATTGTCAGAAGAACTGCATTATAAGAAACCTACAGACAATTTCTCAGGATGAACAAAAATTATCCTTAGTGTGCACAGAACTGTAGGAAGGAATGAAATGCATCAGAAAGAGAAAATAGGAATTTATACTGGCAGTTAATTAAAATGATAATATCTTATGGGATTCATAACACTTGAAATGTTAAAATATATCATAACAATAGTACAAGAGCATGAGATAGCTCAATGAAGTTGAATTGTCATAAGGCTTTTATTTTGGAATATCATAAAAGTACAGATTTAAAGTAAATAATAAATATGCATTTTGTAATCATGAGATCTAGGTAAAAACTAAATGATAAAAGATATTACAGGGGGGAAATGGAATTTAAAAAAGCGGATTAATCCAAAGAAAATGGTGAAGGAGTAATAAAGGAACAGAGAACAGATGGGAAAAACAAACAATAAATACTAATATGGTAGAGTTAAATCTAACAATTAAGACAGAATCATGCCCTGGCTGCTGTTGCTCACTGGTAAGAGCATTGGCCAGCACACTGAAGGGTCCCAGGTTCAATTCTGGTCAAGGGCATATATCTGGATTGCAGGTTAGATCCCAAATGGGCCACATGCGGGAGACAACTGATTGATATGTCTCTCTCACATCAATGTCTCCCTCTCTCTCTCTCTCTCTCTCTCTCTCTCTCTCTCTCTCTTTCCCATTTTCTCTCTCTTTCTTTGTCTCTCTCTCCCCACTACCCCTCCATTCTCTCAATGGAAAAAAATGTCCTCAGGTGAAGGTTAACAACAATAAAAATAAGACAAGATAATCAGATTGGGTTAAAAATAAAACATCTAATGCTAAGTTAGCATTTTGCAAGATATATACTTTAAATATAAGGACACAGAAACATGCAAATGAAAAAATGGAAAAAGACCTACCATGAGAACAGTATGATGATGTAGCTAAATTAATACCAAAGTAGACTTTAAAGCAAGAACTATTGAGTTGTACACTTTAAGTCTGTATGGTTTTTTTTGTGTGTGTTTATTTTTAAAATGTATTTTTATTGATTTCGGAGAGGAAAGGAGAGGTAAAGAGAGATACAAACATCAATGATGAGAATCATTGATCAGCTGCCTCCTGCATGGGGATCGAGCCCGCAACCGGGACATGTGCCTTTGACTGGAATTAAACCAGGATCCTTCATTTCACAGGCCGACACTCTATCCACTGAGCCAAACCAGCTAGGGCTAAGCCTGTATGATTTTATTGACCAGTGTTGTCACCCCAATAAATTCAATTTTTTAAAAAAAATCTTCAAATGGAAATGTTAAGAAGTGAAAAAACAACAACTGTTTAGCCATTTGTCTGTTTTTTAAAATGATATTGGGTTTGTAAAACTATATCAATAATATTTTATTATTAGATCCCTAACTCACACCACATACAAAACTTAGTCAAGATGGAACAAAGACATAAATTTAAGTGCTAAAACTATAACTCTTAAAAGAAAACATACTTGTAAATCTTCACAACCTTGGATTAGGCAGTGATTTGTTTCTTAGGTATGATGACATCAAAGACACAAGTGACAATAAAAGATAAACTTCATCAAAATTAAGAAATTTTGAGCTTCAAAAGACACCATTAAGAAAATAAAAAGACAATCCACGGGTGGGACAAAAATATATGCAAATCATATATCTGATAAGGGTCTGGTATCCAAAATATACAAAGAACACTTACAACTAAATGATACAAAGACAACCCAATTTAAAAATAGGCAAAGCATCTGAATAGTATTTCTACAAAGAAGATATACAGATGGCCAGTAAGCACATGAAAAGATGTTCAAAATCTTTAGTCATTATATATATGCAAATTAAACTTATAATGAGATATGACTTCATATCTATCAGAATGGCTATAATGAAAAAGATGAACAATAACATGCTGGTGAGAATGTGGAAAAATTGGAATCTTCATATATTGCAGGTAGCAATTTAAAATTGTGTGACTGCCTTGGAAAACAGCCTGGAAATTCCTTTAAAAGTAATTTTAAAAAGTTAACCACAGAGTTACTTTATGATCCAGCAACTCTTCTCCTCAGGCATACATCTAAGAGAAATGAAACATATAGTCATATACAAACCTATACAAAAATGTTCATAGCAGCATTATCCATAAAGCCCCCCTCTCTAAAGGAAACCCAATGTCCATCAATTGATTAATGGATACACAAAATGTAGTATACCTATATAACAGAATATTATTCAGCAATAAAAAGAACGAATTACCAATTTATGCTGTAACATGAATGAATCTTGAAAACATTGTGCTAAGTAAAAGAAGTCAGACACGGAGACTATATATTGTATAACTGAACTCATATGAAATGTTCAGAAAAGGCAAGTCCATAGGGAAAAAAAGTGAATTGGTGGTTGTCAGAGACTGGAGAGGGTGTATAGAGAGTAACTGGAATGGACATGAATGGGGTTTCTTTAGGGGGCAATAAAAATATCTTGGAATTAGATAGTGGTGATGGTTGCACAACCTGTGAATTTACTAAAAACTACTGAATTGTACACTTTAAAAGGGTGAATTTTAATGGTATATGAATATGTCAATAAAATTTTTTATATAAATTAATTTTGAATTAAGCATTATGTGAAATTCTTCTAATTTAAATTCTGTGATCAATCAGGAATACAGACGTCATATACTATTTGCAAGCTTATGACAAACAACGTGTGAAAACAAACTAGAAAATTCCTGACCCTTGGAGCCTAGTGCCTCTGCCAAGTCTTCCGGGGCAAGCGTGAATGCCCTGTAGTACATTGTGGAGACCATCAACAGTGCTGCATGCAGAAAACATGCAAGCATGCCCTATAAGTCAGTTGCCCAGTGGGAAGCAACACCTTCGGGGAGGCCAGATCCTGTGCTTTACTCTGAAGATTGTAGCAAAGAAGTTTGATGAGGACCACCTTCAGGCCCAAAGTGATGAATGACTGCCTCCTAGTCTCAAGAAAAATTTTCTTCTAACCAAATAAATTTTAGATATTTCAGACCTTTCCTGTGGCCTGGTCCTATATCCAAAATTCTACAGAAATTATAGATTTTCTATCAACTAAGGAAACTGGGTAAAGGAGTAAGTAAACTTTTAAATAATAATGGCCTGGTTTGTGTTAAGTAGTTTGAACTTAAGAGAAATAAAAATCTTACCACCAAAAATACCAAAATGCAGTTCCTTCATAAGCAAATTACTATTGTTTCTATACCTGAAATATTATATGTGTTTTATTTACTGGATATTTACATTTTGGGAAGGAAAACATTTTTTTCATGTAAAAATTTATATTTGTAATTTGTTCTTCCTAAGATTTTTTACATGATAACACAATTTGTTCTTTTCTCACAAATTTACAATCCTATATAATAAAAGGCCAATATGCAAATCGACTGAACTGCAGAACAACCAGTTGCTATGACGCGCACTGACCACCAGGGGGCAGAAGCTGCACTCTCACAGTGGGAGCGCCACTCAGCCAAAAGCCCTGAGCCAGGCTCACAGCTGGCGAGTGCAGCGGCAGTGGTGGGAGCCACTCCCACCTCCGTGTCAGTCAGACATCCCCCAAGGGCTCCCAGACTGCGAGAGGGGGCAGGCCAGGCTGAGGGGGCCCCCCCCCAACCCCCTGCACAAATTTTGTGCACCGGGTCTCTAGTTTCTAAATAAAGATAAGCCAGTAAAATTGGGGGAAGAATAGGTTTTATTAATCAAATGATGTCTTTCTTTTTCTAAATGAGAAGATTTTGTTTTATTTTTAACATTAGATATGGGAACTGTTTCTTAGTAAACTTGTTTGAAAAGATTAATGTGTTATAAAGCAGATTTTATCTTTGTCTTATTAAGTTCCTCTACTTTATAGTTCTGATTGTACTCTTAAAATGCTTTATTTTAGCCCTAGCCAGTTTGACTCAGTGGATAGAGCATCTGTCTGGGGACTGAATGGTCGTGGGTTCAATTGCGGTCAAGGGCACATGCCTGGGTTGTGGGCTCAGTCCCTGGTAGGGGGCGGGGCATGCAGGAGGCAGCAGATGAATGATTCTCTCTCAACATTGATGTTTCTATCTCTCTCTCCTTCTTCCTTCCTCTCTGAAATAAATAAAAATATTTTAAATGCATTTTAAATATTTTAGGTTTTTAAAAAGATCTTTATGATTTACAGACATTGCAAATGATTAAAAACAAAGTAATGTTGTGGGGGGAGATAATTCCCTACCTTAGACGGTTTTCTAGCTCTATAATTCTTTCATTTAGATCCAAGTTGCCTCTTTCAGGAGTCTGATTATTGATGCTTTTCAAAGATTTAACTCTAGTTAGAGAAGCAATAAGAACCTTTAAGTCCTTGATATCATTTTTCAGGGAGATTATCTGGAAAGACTGTTTCGAGTTATCTTCTTTATAACTTTCTAGCTCATTCTTCATATCTTGCAATGAACTTTCTTTTATGAAAAGTTTATTTTGAAGATTTCTTAGCTAATGAGAAAGGAAAAGTATTACTTAAAATCATTTATAATTTTGGTTTTAGAAAATTCATGATCTTCAATCAATATGGGTATTTAAATTACATGCTATAATACAATAAAACAAAAGCTTTCAAATCTAACAGTATATTCCAATATTAATACACTTAAATTATATCAAATTGATACATTTGAATAAGTGAATTTATTCTCATCAACATTAAAGTTATTTAAGTCTTCTTGATTATATATTTTTAAGACAAATAAAGGAAAGAAGAGCTCATAAAGTTATTAAGAAAAGCAAGAGGGATGTCTTGTGAGAGGGGAAGCGAAACAAGAGAGCCACCACACGCTGCTATTGGAAGGAAAGGATCAAAAAGGACTGAAGAGTGAGGTAAGTGATTTCATTATCTTTGGGTAACATTTTTAAAATCTCTGCTCTTCTATCTGGTAAGTGAAGAAAGTTCACTAGATGAAAAAAAAATTGAGGTATTTTTAGAACTCTTCACATGTCAGATCTCAACAAATGTTCAGTTGTAACTCTATTCCTACCCAATATATCCCAACTTCTGGTAATCACAACAATTGTTAAAATCCTGCAGCATTACCTTCCTTATTTTAACCAGTTAAGTCAGGGGTTCTCTGCACTGCAGTGGTTACCATTCACCTAAGATACCATAAAAATAATGAATGCCCCCTGGAATTTTGCAATGCAGTGGTCCCATTTTCCAGTACTATGATATAAGAACTGTGTTTTAAGATCTCATTTTCAGTTATGCTATTGTTAGGATACTGTTAAGATATGTTCGTGAAAAATAACTAAGGCAGCATGAGTCTCAGACTCACACAATATTGATTTCTAGAGTACTTGCCAGTTCTTAGTTGTTTTTTACTTCTTCCATAGGAACAGTGATTTGCAAAATCTAAGATTTTAAAACACTACTGTGTTATTTTTTATGTCAAAAAACCCACAAAATTTGAATTGTTTGACTGGATTTGGACATAATGAATTGAAATATGTTCAGGACTTAGCTAAATGTATGCATCCCCAAAATTGAGATATAGCCAGTTGATAAAAAATTATCAACAAAGGACTCAGATCTATAGTAAAGAATTCTAATTTCTCAGAAAACAATCCAATTAGAAAATGGGCAGACTTGAAAAGAAACTTTATCAGAAAGAATATATAAATGGAAAATAAATACATAAAAATATATACATCATCAGTCATTAAGGATATGCAAATTAAAACTACAAAGAGATATCACTACACATGTATGGGAATATCTAAGCTACAAAATAGTGACACCACCAAATTTTGGCAAGGATGAGGAGAAACTGGATCACTCATACATTTCTGATAGGAATGTAAAATGGTATCACACTCTGGAAAATACTTTGGCAGTTTCTTATAAAACTAAACATGCAATTATCTTCTGACCCAGCTATTACACTTTTAGGGATTTATTTCAGAGAAATAAAAAGTTATGTTCATACAAAAAACCTATATATGAAGGTCCATAGAAACTTTATCTGTAATAGTAAAAAAAACAAACTGGAAGTAACCCAGATATTTGTCAACAAGTGAATGGTAAAACAAACTGGTATATACATACCATGGACTCAGCAATAAAAAGGACCAAACTATTGATACATGCAACAACTTGAATAAGTCTCCAGGAAATTATGCTGAGTGAAAAAGCCAATCCCAAAAGATTACAAATATATGACTCTATTTATATAACATTTTAAAAATATATATATATATTTTATTGATTTTTCACAGAGAGGAAGGGAGAGAGACAGAGAGTTAGAAACATCGATCAGCTGCCTCCTGCACATCTCCCACTGGGAATGTGCCCGCAACCCAGGTACATGCCCCCGACCGGAACCGAACCTGGGACCCTCCAGTCCGCAGGCCGACGCTCCATCCACTGAGCCAAACCGGCTTCGGCATCTATTTATATAACATTTTAACAACAGCTTTATTGAGATATAATTTATAAATTCAGCTACTTAAACCATATAGTTGCAAGGTTTTTAGTATATTCATAATTGTGCAGCCATATTGAATTGTTTTTCACTTTTAAAAAATTGAGATGATTCACATACCATAAAAATTTACCCTTTAAAGCATAACACTCAGCAGCTTTTAATATATTCACAGGTTGTGCAACCATTGCCAAGATCTAATTCCAGAACATTTTCATTATCCTCTAAAGCAGTGGTTCTCAACCTTCTGGCCCTTTAAATACAGTTCCTCATGTTGTGACCCAACCATAAAATTATTTTCGTTGCTACTTCATAACTGTAATGTTGCTACTGTTATGAATCATAATATAAATATCTGATATGCAGGATGGTCTTAGGTGACCCCTGTGAAAGGGTCGTTCGACTGCCAAAGGGGTCGCGACCCACAGGTTGAGTCTAAAGAAACCCTATACCCATTAGTAGTTACTCCTTATTATTCTTTTCCCTCTCAGCCCCTGGCAACCACTCATCTTCTCTCTCTCTCTCTCTCTCTCTCTCTCTCTCTGTGAATTTGCTTATTTTAGGTGTTTCATATGAATGAAATTATACAATATGTTGCTTCTTGTAATTGCTTCTTGTAATTGGTTTTTACTTAGTATAATATTTTCTATATTCATCCATGTTACAGCATGAATCAGTACTTCACTCCTTTTTGTTTGAATAAAATGCTATTGTATGGATATACCACATTTGTTTAGCCACTCATTAGTTGATGGACATTTGAATTATGTCCACTATGAATAATGCTACTATGAATATTCATTTACAAGTTCTTGTGTGAATGTATATTTCAATTCTCTTATGTATCTACCTAGGAGTGAGATTGCTGGCTCACATGGCAACACTATGTTTAGCTTTTAGAATGTACAACATCTGAAATGATAACATCTGAGGAATGGAGGAGAGATAAGTGGTTGCCAGGGGTTGAGGGTGAGGGAAGGAAATGGGTGTGAATAGAAAATGGCAATAGGAAGGGTATTAGTGGTGTTGTGCAGGAAACAGCCTATCGAATCAATGTTCTGCTCTCACACAGGTGTTTCTCTCTCTCCCAACTCTTCCTCTCTCTCTAAAAGTCAATACAAATATCAAAAAACAAAAACAAAATACAAATGCTTAATATATATAACTTATTAGATAAATTTTGAGTGTGGCAGTTTATAACCAATTTTCTAATATCCTAGCACTTGGCAGTCAACTTAAAAGCACTTAATTATGTACCATCTTCAAAGGGATTTCTCTGGCAAAAGACAAATTAATATCTAAATTAAAGCTCCTCGGTGATGAGAATATTGAGAAAAAAGCAAAACTGAATTGAGATAATACTTTGAGCCCTTTATCAGAATGTGCTTTGCCCCCTGCTTTTACAGAGGATGTACTTTCCTATGGTGTTTTATTTTCAGATAATCCATATACCTCAGCTAAAAGATTCTTGTTTTTCACCAACAAACCAGCAAGGTCAGGATGGTCTGGGTCAGCAGTCGTTTTGTTGTATATGATTGGGTTCCTGGTGGAAACTTCTTCAAGAGGTGGATCAAAACAAGCCTACAAAGAAAAATTACAAATTAACTAAACATGTTCTCTGTAGATCACCCCACAATGTTCTAGCCTACACAAAATCAAATAAGTAGCTCTAAATAGAATACAGCTGTAAAACATTCACTTTAAGGTGCGACCCTAACAATGACAATAGGTCTCGGAAAAAAAAAAGCAAGTAACATGATCTATACTTTTATTTTGATTATTATCTCATTCACTATGTAAAAATCTTATCTCTCCTACTATATTAAAGGTACCTAAGATCAGGATATATTTCTGATGTATCGCTATCATCCCATACTAGGTGCCAAAACTACAGATTGAATAAAGAACCCAACAGGAAAGAAACTCTACATACAAAGTTAACTTATATAGATGATAGAACTTTTCTCCCAAACTAATCTTATAAAAATATTAAAAAATGTATAAGGAGACTAAAGCAAAAATTAACAAAATAAAGAAATATGGCATAATTATTCTATGATTTTAGGTTTGCACATGACTATTCTATTTTTATGCACTCATAAGATTTGTCAACACTTCAAATTAGAAAGATAGTCTGCTATGCTTCATATAGTAGAAAGTAAAAACCATACATAAATTTTGACCATATCAGGCACAGAGAAAATTTCAACTTCAAGGTCGGTTCTCAGAAGAAATCTGAATTGCCCAATATGAGTGGCTTCCCTGCACAATCTACCAGTAGAATGTTTCCACACCAAAGAAGCTATTGCTAGGGGAATGCATCACAGAGGTCCAGGGAAGGGAAAGGAGGATCTCTAAAAGTGGTACTACTAGTAAGACCTGTGGGTCTGTATTTCCCTAGTCAATGAAGTGAAAACGAAGTGGTTTCATCAAGCATTAGAGAACTTCAGAACTCTTAAGAAAGTGACCCCACTGAAAGTAACCATTCTGGCAAATGTGAAACTCATATTTTGGGTCTTTCTTTTGAGAAATTCTTGGAATAAGTCAAATTTTATATTCCAATACCTACACCTCATCAAGGGAGAAGTACTTTGAGAGGAGGAGAAAAATGATGATTCCATCTACTATTCCTAAACTTTAGGGGTCCTCAAACTTTTTAAGCAGGGGGCCAGTTCACTGTCCCTCAGACCGTTGGAGGGCCGGACTACAGTTTAAAAAAAAACTATGAACAAATTCCTATGCACACAGCGGCAGCAAAAACACCCGGCAGGCCAGATAAATGTTTTCGGGGGGCCGCATGTGGCCCGCGGGCTGTAGTTTGAGGACCCCTGTGCCTAAAGTAAAGATGATTTGTCTGAAATGCTGATATCTTATTCCAGGGATGTACTTTTATGCCAGAGAAAGTATATCCCTATTATATATTCTTGATATGAGAATCACTAGGATTATATTTCAAATATCTAATCTAAGAGTTGTCAACTTTGCCCGTACATCAGAATTTCAAAGAAAACTCAATATATATTGATACCCTGGCCCCAGTAGGGTTACATGTGGGAAGCAACCAATTGATGTGTCCTTTTCACATTGATGTTTGTCTTTCTCTCTCTCCAACTTCCCCTCCCTCCCTTCCACTCTCTCTAAAATTCAATGGAAAAAATATCCTCAGGTGAGGATTAACAACAATAATGTATATATTTGAAATAAATAAATAAAAGTAACCCAGATATTTTGTCAAATCCAGTGACCTGAAAAAATTCACTATCTCAAAGAATTAACTGTATCCCCATGTTCATTGCAGCATTATTCACAATAGCCAAGACTGACTAAGTGTCCATCAGTGTGAGACAGGCCAGTAAGCCCGGACACGTGGACTAGAGAAACTGAGACAAATAGCTGAAAAACTGTCTGAGAAACTTACAGCCAGATAAAGAAGGTCACCTCCATAGCGATGACATCTAGGCCTCAGTTATATTCCAGCTCCAGGCCCAGAAAAGCAGCAAATCCAGGTGGGCAAGGCCAGGACCAGCTGCAGTGACTGATGACCCCTTGCCCAGGCACTGACCAATCAGTAGAGGCCACAACCATGAAAGAGCACACCTGGAAAACTGGTGAATATTCTGCCGAAACCCTCCTGCGGCCGCCCCGAAGATTCCCGCCTGCAAGAGAGAAAAGCCTCCAGCCAAGGAGTCCAGCTCATGCTCTCCCTCTGGGGAGCAGCCTGCACATTCCCTTTCCCTTCGTCTTCCCCAACTTTCCCCCCAGGGGCATGCATCTCCTAAACTCTAAGGGACCCCACGAGACTTGCAACCAGGGAGCAATGGGCAGCAGCCGCTCACCTGGGCTAACCTGTCTCCAAGGCCCCCTTTTCTCTGACTTCCCAGGGAGCCAAAGCAGCCCAGCCTGTGCTCTCCTGTTGCTTCTTCTGTGCTAAGCCCTTCCTTATTTCACTGTCCCCAGTTTTAATAAATGTAACCTCACAGTCACCTGGACTCATGTTGTGAAATCTTTCCTACAGGAAGTCAAGAACCCACACACTACCATCTGGCCCTAGGCAGGCTGGGTCAGGGCCAGGTCCCCTGTACGGTAACTAATGGATAAATGGATAAAGCCATTTTTTAAAAAAGGAAATCCTGCCTTTTAAGACAACAGGGATGGACCTGGAGGGCATCACCTTAAGTGAAGTCGGAGAAAGACAAATACTGCAAGATGTTATTTGAATGTGAGATCTAAAAAGGCTGAATTTATAGAAATACAGTAATGGTTGCCAGGGGCAAGGGTGGTAGGGAAATAGGGAGATGGTAGTCAAAGGCTACAAACTGCCTACTATAAAGTTAATAAGTCCTAGAGATCTAATGTACAGTGTGACTATAATTAACCATACTGTATATATATTTGAACGTTAAGAGTCAACGTTAGCCTGGCCGATGTGGCTCAGTGGATGGGCATCCACCTGTGAACCAGGTCACAGATTCCTGGTCAGGGCACAGGCCAGGGTTGGGTGGTTCCATCCTCAGTAGGGGGCGTGCAGGAGGCAGCAGATGGATGATTCTCTCTCATCATTGATGTTGATCTCTCTCTCCCTCTCCTTTCCTCTCTGAAGTCAATAAAAAAAATTTTAACAGAGTAAAATTTAAATATTACCACCATGCACACAAAAAGATAATTATGTGAGGGGATGGAACTATTAACGACCTAATTGTGATAAGAATTTTGTAATAAATACGTGCATTAAAACCATCATGGTGTACACCTTAAACTTACATACATGTCCATAATACCTCAAAAAAGCTGGGGGGGGGGGGGGGGGGCGGGGAGGGACTTAGGAGACCTGAACAATTGATCTCTGAGCTGTATCGGATGACTGTAACCTAACTCATAGGACTCGGGGCATGTGCAGAACCAGTCCTCACAAACATGCAGCTGCCTGGGCTCCTCCAGTCCTGCTCCCCCCCCCCCCCCCCCCCCCCCTTTTTTTTCTTTTGGAAAGGGCGCCTACGGGAGCGAGCGCCCTTCGCGTCCGTTACCAACCCCGTCTGCGCGGGGGTCTGACAAGGTCGAGCCTTGCTGGCAAAGCGGACGACCCGCCCTCTGCACTGGCCAACCCCGGGCTACCCCGCACACGGAGGTGACTCCGGACACGGAGGTGACCCCGCACACGGAGGTGACCCCGCACACGGAGGCGCAGGCGCCGCCGCTCCGCCGGCCTGAAACGGCGGGCCGGGCTTCACGGTGGCCGAGCCTCAGCCACCTGAGATCTTCAAGTTACGGGCGCCGCCCTGACCCCATGACTCAGCCTCAGGTGGGGGCCCCAGTTTGACAGCGTGGTTGGGCGGGAACGCCACTGCAGGACGCGCGCGCGATCGTCCCGCCAGAACGCTTTTGGGGGAAGCCCCGCGCCCTCAGCCCCCGGGGACTTGCTCCCTCACCCCGCGTCCAGGCGGGTCTGGGAGACCGTCCGGCTCCCGCGCCCGCGAAACCGATCTCCCGCGAGACCGCCCCTCCGCCTCCGCACCCGATAGGCCGGAAGAGAGACCCCGCCCCCTCCTCAGCGGTTCCCCGCCCCACACGAAGGCGCCGTCTGAAATGACTCCTTCCACCAGCCACTCATTTCTTCCCTCCAGGCATCACGGAGTTCAAACTCCCGCCGCATTCCAGACCCTCCACCCCCTCGCTGCTCCCAGACGAAGGGAAATGCGTTCTTTCGGACTGCGCACGCGCAGGCAGGTGCGGGCGGGGCGGCGGCGCAGGCGCAGAAGCAAGCTCCTCCTCGGCGGTCGCTAACCTCGTGGGCCGGCTGTCCGCGGCAGCGAGGGGAGTCCAGCCTTGGTTTTGGCGGCATCCACCGTGGGCAGCGGACTAGGAAAGGTCATGGCGCCGGCGGAAATCTTGAACGGGAAAGTGGTCTCCACGTAAGCACCTGTCGTTGTCAGGGCGCGTTGGGCTGCAGGCAAGGGTTCTGAGCAGGGTGTGCAGGTCAGCAGCAATGGACCCATTTTTTATTTTTTTTTTTGCGGGAGGGAGACCTGGAGCGCAAAATCAGACCATCCCGGTGGGCAGGAAGAACCTTGTCCTGAGCCCTTCACATCGGTCTCCTGTAGCTGAGAAAAGGGGCTCGGGCACAATCCGCGTTTGCAGATGGGCTGCCTGTGGCTGTGCCCGCTGGCGACGGTGCTTCTGGGACAAGCCCTCTTACCTGGCCCGCTCTGCTCCCAAAAGTGCGGCTGCTGACAACTTTAATTTCAGAGAGGAAGGGACAGAGAGAGAGAGAGAGAGAGAGAGAGAGAGAGAGAGAGAGAGAGAAAGAAAGAAAGAAACATCAATGATGAGAGAGAATCATTGATTGGCCGCCTCCTGCACACGGGGGATCGAGCCCACCACCCCGGCATGTGCCCCGAGGGGGAATCTAACCTTGACCTCCTGGTTCATACGTCCATGCTCAACCAACTGAGCCATGCCTGCCGGGCAGGGGCTTAATTTTCCCTTCAATTTAATGCTCCTCTAACAATCATCTCCTGGTCCTAGAGTTACATTCTAGTTTGGCTCTTGAATTTTGACAATATTCCATATTCCATTTGACTTCTTCCTGTGTTACCCCCACTGGAATACCTAGTGGATATGATTGCCAGGCTTACTCCCGGGAAGTGATCCCCCTCTGCTTTTTGTGTAGGAGGTGACTAGTGGGGAAAGATGAGGCTGGAAGAGAGAAAGACGTACAGGGTGGTGCAAAAATAGGTTTACAGTAATAATAATGCAAGAATAAACGGTTTCACATAGTCACAACTGTAAACCTACGTTTGCCACGCCCTCTTGCAGGTTGCTCTTGGGACCTTGAACCTCACCAGTTATTTTGTAACTGCTGTAGTTGGCAACAATAACTCCTATGAACTCCTAATTTTGTGAGTAGAGACTTTTTAGTGAATTATAGAGTCGTTGGTGGTGAAACCCACCTTGGAGCAAAGTGATTGTTTCCTGGAGAAAGAAAGTGAAGTGTGAATTAGATTGTGGTGACTCACACTGGTGAGGAGAAGCCCCAGGCTTTTAGACTAGAAATCACAATGCTTATATCAGGTAGCTTTTTTTTTTTTTTTTATAAACTTTTAAAAAAATTCTTTATTAGTTAAGGTATTACAAATGTGTCCTTATCCTCCCCACTAACCTCCCCCCCACTCATATTCTCATCTCCCTGTTGTCCATGTCCATTGGTTTGGCTTATATGCATGCATACAAGTCCTTTGGTTGATCTCTTCCCCTTACCCCCTCCCTCCCTTACTTTCCCTCTGGGGAGTGATAGTCTGATTGCTGTTTCTTTGTCTTTGGATCTGTCCCTGTTTATCAGTCTATGTTGTTCTCTATAATCCACAAATGAGTGAGATCATGTGGTATTTATCTTTCTCTGACTGGCTTATTTCACTTAGCATAATGCTCTCCAGCTCCATCCATGCTGTTGCAAAAGGCAAGAGTTCCTTCTTTTTTACTGCAGTGTAGTATTCCATTGTGTAGATGTACCACAGTTTTCTAATCCACTCATCTGCTGATGGGACTTACGCTGTTTCCAAATCTTAGCTATGGTGAATTGTGCTGCTATGAACATATGGGTGCATATATCCTTTCTGATTGGTGTTTCTGGTTTCTTGGGATATATTCCTAGAAGTGGGATCACTGGGTCAAATGGGAGTTCCATTTTTAGTTTTTTGAGGAAACTTCATACTGTTCTCCACAGTGGCTGCAAGAGTCTGCATTCCCACCAGCAGTGCAGAAGGGTCCTTTTTCTCCACATCCTCTCCAACACTTGTTGTTTGTTGATTTGTTGATGATAGCCATTCTGGCAGGTGTGAGATGATACCGCATTGTCGTTTTGATTTGCATCTCTCGTATAATTAGTGACTTTGAGCATGTTTTCATATGTCTTTTGGCCTTCTGTATGTCCTCTTTCAAAAAGTGTCTATCTAGGTCCCTTGCCCATTTTTTGATTGGATTGTTTGTCTTCCTATTGTTAAGTTTCATGAGTTCCCTGTAAATGTTGGAGATTAAACCCTTATCGGTGATATCATTGGCAAATATGTTCTCCCATGCAGTGGGTCTTCTTGTTGTTTTGTTGATGGTTTCCTTTGCTGTGCAAAAGCTTTTTATTTTGATGTAGTCCCATTTGTTTATTTTCTCTTTAGTATAAACTTTTATTCTTTAAATATATATATTTTGTTGATTTCAGAGAAGAAGGGAGAGGGAGAGAGAGATAGAAACATCAGGGGTGGGTGAGAATCATTGATCGGCTGCCTCCTGCATGCCCCCTACTGGGGATCTAGCCCACAACCTGGGTATGTGCTCTTGACCAGAATTGAACTTGGGACCCTGCAGTCTGCTGGCCGACGCTCTATTCACTGAGCCAAACCAGTTAGGGCCAGATTGCTTTTCAACATGTGGTTTGTTGAATTGCATTGTTTCTGTTTGACCTTCATTTTTTGTTTATTTATATTCAAACCTACTCCCTTTACCAGTGGCTTTTTGGTGATGAAAGCTTCCTTTTAGAAAGTCTGGTTTGTGGAGATAATTTAGGTTTGCTTCTTGGCAGGCTGAGAATAGGTGCTCACTGAATATGTTTTGAGTGAAGAGCAAGTTAAATATATAAGCTCCATAAGGGCAAACACATGCATTGTTTTGTTTATGTCTATATAAACACTTATAAACCTTCGTTTTTCTGGAGAAGACTGTTTTGGGCATTGAACGGCTCTCTCCCAGCATGCTCAGGGTTAACATAGCTAACCTGTCCAGTGCCCCATGGTTGAGCAATCAGTTAGTTCCTGCTAACACCGTTCATAAAGGAGCATTAAGACTAAGGCCTCTTTGTGTTTGCAGATTTCTCTCTAATGTACTTACAAAATGGCTCTTTCAGACACTGCCACACGTTGGCACCTCGACTTTCATGGAGAGTTTGACTCTAGGAACTGGTAGTGCTCAGAGTTCTCAGAGGGAGAGAGCTCTGCAAGGAGAGGCAGCCTGCCTGACTCACGGGGTAGTGCAGTCCCAGCTCCTTGTGCTGCAGCTGACCCTTGGGGAAGCCTGAGCAAGAATGTGGTTCTGACAGCTTGACGAGGTTGGGCTACAGAGGCTCTGGGCAGGGTGTCCCACCTTCGCTCTTTTGCTGGGCCAAGGATATTCTTGAGGAAAGGTGAGCGAACTTCTTACATTGCAGCCAGGGATCCTGGAGTCTGGGGAAAGGGTCCCTCATTCCCAAGTTTGCAGGTCAGCTTCCTCGGTTGCCATCAATTTTGGGGTCTCTGGGGACGAATTTGCAAGCCCTGGGCAGTTTATTCCCGGAGGTAGTGTTTGAATTGTAAACTCTCTTCCTTGGAGGGAGGAAAAGTAAGGCAGGTCATGAGTTCCACAGTCAGAATTTCTCCAAAATCCGGTCTACTCCCCACATCCCATCCTGCAGTGAGGGATATAGTTGAGGCCAGAAACGTGATGAAACTTGGCCATCGGTTACTAGGCTGGTTAATGGCAGAGGCTCCACTAGAACCAAGGTCTTCACAGGGTACATGGTGTTTTCCACTTTATTAGGTACTTACCACTTAGCTTTAAAGGAATTTCATCAACTAATCTTTTTTTCTTTATAGCAATCTTCTCACTGCCATACTTCCCACTCTGCTGAGAAGGCCCTTCCTAGCTTTTATTTACTTTTATTGTTCTCCCTTTATACTTTCCTGGTAGCTAAGACTAGACAAAGTTCATCCTTCTAGATTCCTTCTCTGGCTTTTCCACCCTATGGGAAATCCGGATCTTGTTGCCAAATTATCTCCCTTTGGGAGGAAAATCCCCATTTCTTCCTTAAGGGGAGTTCCAAAGTTGCAGCCTGAATTTGATAATTGGAGGAGAACTGAGGGTTAGAAATAAGTGTCTTTTTTTTTTTTTTTTTTTTAATCCTCACCTGAGGATACTGATTTTAGTGAGAGGGGAGGAACATCAGTGCCTGAGGGAAACATTGATCGGTTGCCTCCTGTACCCACTCCCACCAGTGATCGAACCCGCAACCTGGGTATGTGCCCTGACCGGGAATTAAACCAGCAACCTTTCGGTGCAAGGGATGATGCTCCAACAACTGAGCCACACTGGCCAGGGCAAGTGTGTGTCTTTTTGGATACTTACTTATTCAACAAATATCTGTGTGCCTCCCAGATGCCAGGCACTCTTCAAAGTCATGAGGCTGTAAAAGTGAACAAAACCTCCCAAATCTCTCATATAGTTTGCATCCCGAGGGGTGGAGCTAGGCAGTAAAAAAAGGTAAAGCCGAATGTGAGAGGGTATGAAAGAGAAAGCCAGAGTAGGGAAGAGGAACAGATTTCTGAGGCATGGGGTTGCAGTTTTCAATATGGGAGTGAAGTTCATACTCAAAGTGATTTGTGGGCAAGGATTTGAAGGACGTAAGGCCATGAGCCTGCCAATGTCATGGGGAAGAGGACTCTTGACCAAAAACAAAGCCTTTGCCATGGACTTTGACCTCATCAATTATTAAGCCATTGCCCTGGGTCAACAGTGATGGATCCTGGAAGCTGATTGTGAATAGAGGAGCTGAATGAGGGGAATCGACCTTGATGGTGACAGCACACCCTGGTTTTAGGGAAGTGTCCCTTAGGAGATTATACAAAAGGGTTTAAATTAGACAGTGTTAGAAAAACCACCCTGATTTGGTTTTTAGACTAGAAACCACAGTTCTTTCATATGTATGCTTTTCATAGTGGGGCCCACTGAATTTTGTGATTTGTTTGACTATCCCTTTTCTTTGTTTGCTATAATGGAGCCTGCTCCCTCATTGATGGCATTTTTCTTAAGTCTTTTTTTCTAGAAAGAGCAGCTATACAGAGACAGATGATTT